CTAAACTGGGTACTTTTAGCTCTTATATATTCCGCAAATTCGTTGGGATAGTCGACACTGCTCTGAGAGGTTCTGAGGTTCTGAGGTTGTCGGGTGTAAGGTGGTGGCAAAATAGGTTTCAGTTGAAACAACAAGCAAGTATATAAAGGAAACCATCGATACCATATTGAGTAATGTATAATGCATATGTTTCTGGTTACTTTAGTTTCCCTCATTTCTTCCCCATCTCAAAACTCTCAAAGCACCAGTGAGAAGAAAGCGCGATTACTGCGCTTTCCTGGTGCGCACGAGGTGCTCGTATCACGAGCTGATGTGAAGTGGCAGGGGGACGCCCCTCCCAATTTAGATGACATACTGCATGTGGATGCAGTACAGTTTACTTATATGAACTTAAACCTGCAGAATTGTTTCCAAGATGCATCTGCCATGCCCTGCTTTGTCCAGGGCCTTATCGCTAGAGCCTGCTTTTTCGGAAGTGCACTGTTTTGCCCCAAGATAGCCTTCAAACAAAAGCGCACAAGGGCGCCAACACAAAACTCTGGGCCTTTTTTTGGAAACTTGGCACTAATATCAACTTTCTCAGAGCGTAACACAAACGCACCGACCCAGAAGTGCGGCTTCAGGGTGTTTCTTCGCCCCCTCTGCGTCTGGTCTCTTTAAAAGAATGGTCTTTACATACTTGTGTCAACAATTCGTCCTAGCGGAGTCCTGCTTTGTCAAAGGCCTTCTTGCTAGAGCCCACTTTTTGGAAGTACTCTTTAGTTGCCCCGAAAAGGCCATCCTCCTGAAGGTCTGTTCCAAGAAGCTTGGTGCTAGCACCCAATTGCTCAGAGGTGCCCCTTTTTGCCCCGAGACGACCCTCAAATGCCAAAGGGCACCAGCCCAGTCACTTGCATTGCCAAGGCAAGCATATATAGTGCAAAATTTTGCCGACCCGTGTTTTTCGCTCTCCCCAAGCAGGCTCTGGGTTCACGCTTCCAAACCGGACATTTTTGGGCTACCCCCTTCGGCAATTACTTGTGACTGAATCCCATCCGAGCCATCGGCCCCCCCCTTCTCCAACAAACATCAAAATAATTAAGGAGCAACAGGTAGGTCAACCCACAGCACAGCCTGCTTGCTGCTGGGGTTCAGCAGCCAATAACGCTTGAAGCAACATGGCTTGCTGAGGCTGCAGTACGTAGTCAGTATGGCTTTACACTTGACTCTACAGCTGCAGAACAAACAGCATTGACCACCATCAAGGATGTACTGCTTGCCGTTTTTTGTTTTGTCATCAATCAACACAATGTGTAGGGCAGGCACTAATGAATGCCCTTGGATTGAAATCCTCAGAGGACTGAGTCAGGCATTGAGGCTTGTCAACAGACTCTATCAGCAATACTTGCGCTAGTGTACTAGCCCTTAGCTCCCCAAACTCCCCAAGCTACTCCAAGAGCGCCACAGACATTGAAGCTCGATCACTTGTTGAGCAAGCCTTGTATCAGTGGAACGTCGGATATGGTAAACATGGAAGATGCTAGTATGACAGAACTTGGACTTTCAAGTTGGCAAATAAGGGTCCAGCATTTGGATCGCCCCAGTATATAGGGACCTGCTATGAATTGCTGCTAATTGCTTCAAATACCTCTCTGTCTTGCTCCTCAAGTGCCCGACACATCCAGCTGCGAAGGCATGCAATATCTTTTCAGTGCAATAGCCTTTCAGCATTCTTTCGAGCGGAAGCGAACGGTGATGGGGGGCTCAAACTGGGCCTGGGTGCGACGCATTCTCAAAGCAAATATTGAATCGATACCCACGTAGAAATGTCATTTTGTCCTCAACAGTTTTAAGACTTGCATTAAAACCCAAAAACATGTCGAACACGTACATATATAGTACTTAGATCAACAAGAGCGTTCCAGGAAGTCGCCCAACCGGTTCTCCTTAACCTTTCCGCCAATATTGTTTAGCACTTCCTGACAAGCAGCTGCTACTGCAAGGAAATCTTCCAACTTTATTCACAGATCCGAATTGGATTTCCACCCATGTGACTGAAGTGCTCCAAGGATCGCCCCCGCAGTCCACCTGCTTGTACCTGAGGAAGCATCTACAATAGCACCTTGTTACTAAAAGCTTCTTGTTACTACTAGTACGGCACCTGTTACTACTAGCGATGCACTTGTTACTAAAAGCTTCTTGTTACTACTAGTACGGCACCTGTTTCTAGAAGCGATGCACTTGTTCCTAGTAGCTTCTCGTATCATATCTGCTGTATTTACAATATTTACAGCAATGGACAGTTGACCGTCAGAAGCCTTGCCGAGAGTGTCTTCACAAAGCGTGTCCTGAACTCTGCTCTGTACCTGGAGCTACCAACTTGAACGTCACCTTTCCTCTGAAAACAGCATCCTAGCTTAGCAACATGGCAGGTCACATGGTTGCATTGCTTGCCACCCAGCAGCAAAAGTCACGCTTCCAAACTGATTCATCGACTTTACCGCCTGATCCCCAAGCCCTTTCTCCAATTTAGCCACTGCGCAGAGATATGTTCGGCTTTACGATCCTCTAATAGATGCAGCATACTGGGCATCCCTGCTGAGCCTTGCCGCATGCATCGTCAACACTTCATGAACCTGCGGAGCATCTATAAGGCCATACTGTGAGATCCCCGATAACTTCTTGACTCCCAAGTGCCACGTCCCTTATAGCACAACAACCCCCCGTGCCACCAAAAAGAACAGCGACCTCCATGTTGAAGACCCACAAAGGAATTCGCCTAAGGTGAAGCCCAAAGAATGGCTCTCAGCACCAATTATTCCAAGTGCTTGGCGCATGAATACTTTGAGGTACTCCTTCTAAATGATCAAAAGAAACACACAAGGGCACTCGTCCAACCTAGGTGGCGGAGCTGCTGCGAGGACAAAAACTTCCGGGCAGAATCAAGCCTGCGGCCGGAGGTCGAAGGTTTTCACCTGAAGGTTGGGCCAGGTTGGACGTGGTGGAATAGAGAAGAAAAACAGAAACAAAAGGCAAAGGGCATCTTGAATAGGGCCGCCTTTAAAGAGGACTCATTAAAAGGACCCTGTACATTTCTGTACTGTCTTTTTTTCTATCCTTTTTCTTCTCCTCACCCTTCCTTTTTGATTTTCTGTGCCTGTGAAAAAGACCAGCTTCGCCGATGAGCCCGACTGAAGAAGTGAAATGTATCGTTTCCCAAACCTTGCAGAATTGACATCACACGTCGACACAGTCGACACAGATTTCGGCAGAACATCGCACGGGTTCAAATAAGGATCAAACATGCTGAACATGATGACGTCGGGGCTGGCCTCATTCTGAGCTTGTGCAGGAGTTTTTGCAGGACATCCCAGCACATTTCAGCATTTTTGACGTATTGTTAAAACTTTTCTTATATCCTCCTGCGCTCGATCTTCCTTGTGGCTCTTATCCGTTTAATATACTTTTGGCTTTCCCAAGTTGGCTGCTGATGCGTCAACGATCTCCACACCAGGCAGGTTTCTTTTGAACCAGTCCTGTAAGCATGTTGATGGCAATCAAACTGCATTGGAACCAAGTCTGCGCTGGCCTGGCAAAACCAAAGGTCAGTATTGTCCTAGGGTCGGACAAAGAAAACATCTTAGCATATTATGTCATGAACATTCACGAACTATGCGAAACCAGCAGAATCCTCGAAGCCAGGCCAAAAGTCAATGAAGGCAATGCGACCTGTCCGACCTGTCCTTGGGATTCATTTCGGTGCTCGCTGCGCAGCCGCAAGCAACCGGTTTCATAATCCGGACTGTGACTAAGCAACAGGCTGGACCAAACCTTCTGACTGCGCTCGAACGCATGAAAACGGCCTTGCAACAATCGCACATACGATGTGGCTCCTCGCATGTCATTGATGCAGGTGGCTTCCGTAACTTCAGCTGTCATCTGAGCTGCTTACGAAGGCCACGGGTGCGGTCTCTCTTTTTCCTGTGCAATTGCTTGTTCGTTGACATCCAAATAGGCTCATAATGTTGACGGGAGCCTTTTCAGCTCGGGCGCCGCAAATGGCCTGGTCTCAAAGTCTTGCAAGCGCAGCGCAACGACATGCAAAAACTGCGCGGCAAACTGTCCTTTGACGGTCTTTGGAATAAAGTCTGGTGCTGCACCGGTCTATGTTGGGTGTATTGTGCCTTGTGAGCTGGCCATGCTTTGCGAAAGCACTCTGGGCCACAAAATCTGGCGGCCTTGATCAGTTTGCTTGGAGCGAGTGGAGCGCTTGGCTTACTTGCGTCGCCACTAGTAACAAGAAGCTGCTAGATTGGAGGCAATCGCTATTACGGTGGAGGCCATCAGTGCATCGCTACTAGTAACAAGGTTCCTTGTATCTTCCCTGCCTTGCATCGTGAACATGCAAATTCTGGATCGGGCGACCCGCACGCGCCACACCTCAGCACTTCGGCTGATGCGGCTTCACAAAACTAAGCCTCAAATGGCATTAAAACACCCTTTGTCAATCTTAAGACCGCAACTCTTTTACCCCAGAGCTGCACATGGCGTTTCAATGCAACGTCACAGTCCAACATGGTGATAATGCAAATCCATGCAAACTACTGTCTCTTGAATAACGTAAATTCAAAGCATATATATTTTTTGCACTTGTCAGAGTCCCTTGGACCGATGAGCCATCTTTGTAAATCTGCAATCAAAGCCTTAACATGAGACGACTACCTGCTCCATCCTCTTCCAAAAAGTTATTGTGCTGCAATTCTGCATGTCCACATTTTGACTTTTTTGAATACAGGATGTTTTGAGTACCATGTAAACTATCGGGGTCAGCTCGAAGGGCCAAATGTCAGAAATGGGTGGAATTCCCTTGCATGAATACACGATTCAACAGTATTTATATAAAGCATGATAGCGCTTCATACAAACACCATCAAACACCACATTGTCAAAAACCGTCACGGAATGTCATTTACATTGGTGCAGTGCTGACATGCGCTCACTGGTACTGAATGTCACACACATCACACCATTTCGCTCTCCTGAACATCTGGCATATCTGTCTCACCATACCCATCAGGCCCGTCAGGATACAGTGCCGCAGCAATCTCTGCACCTCAGGGCTGCAGCACTGCCGCAATGCCGCTGTGCAACAACCGTGCGTGACCGGTTGGAGTAGCCAAGCGACCACGGGCAGTGGGACCGGATGTTGCTTCCCTTTGAGCCAAGCGACCTCCACCGCCCCGGTGGCCACAACCAGCGGGTGGCCCCTGAGTATGCTGCAGCTTTGCCATGCTTTGTCCGTTTGTTTTCAAATTATTCATCACGAATCTAGCTAGGCCTTGATATGTACTTTCCCTTCCATGTAATTACTTTCTCTTTCTTTCAGTTCTTTCGGTTCTTCCTTTATTCCTGTGTGAAATCAATATATAACCAGCCTCAGTAGGCTCGCACAGCTCTTCGAGCCTACATCCTTGAGATCTTGAGATCCACATTCATCAACTAGTTTCAACGAGAAGTCTCTGCATCAAACATTTGGCTGCATCTTGATGCACTGATGATGGACAACTCGTTTGAGGGCTCATCCTGCTCGCAACAATCTGGCTGCTCGGGCAAACTCGCCATGGATAGCTCGCCAAACCTGGGCAAACATAGCTGTGCTTCTTATGTGAGTCTTTGCTCACCAAAGTGTATGGCCCAAGTTGAACTAAGGGCAGCACCATGGTAGTGAAAGGATTCACGTTCTTTCCAGTGAGTGGGCACCTGCCCAGTGGATCGGCCTTATCAGCCTATGCTTATGCCACCTATGCATAAGCAGCTGAGGACATGGAATCTCGGACCTCATGACCAAAACGCCAAGATCGTTCAGCTCACAGGAGGCATCATAGACGTAAACCGTCTGTCCATCACCTTCCTCTCCTCCACCAAATTCCTGCCAGGACTGGAGCATGACAATTCTTTTGCTGACCTTGTTGTCACTCCGAGCAGTAGAGGTATATATGTTATATATGTATATAACTGTATATAGGACTTTCTGATCAAACAAGATGCAGTGATGCAGCAAACTAGCTAGCAACTGGTTAGAGTTCGTTCCTCTCTCAGTCTGTCGGGTCTGTCGGTGGTCTGTCTGGGACTGTTTTGTTGGCGTTACTTGATCCGCAAGCTATTCCTCTCGGTTCAGAATGAATCCTGATTCTACGTGGCCGTGTCGGTATTGTTGCAATTTGCACGCTGACTTGGGAACTCCTTGAATAGCTGGATGATTTGAGTGTGTTTCTCAGATCTGATACATTGAACCAACCATCTGCCGTTCTTGAATTCTGTTTTTGTTGTTTGTGCATACATATATATATATATGATTATATAGTTGTATACGATATACACATACATACATGTAACATGTACATCGACTGCTACTATCCTACCAAATGCCCTTGCTGGTCATTTTGCTTTCATTGTCTATACCAAAAGTGTATGTCCGTCGGAGATCAACAGCCGTGAGACGCATGGGGCCGATTCGGGCTGATGCAAGGACTCTGCAATCTTTTGACAACCTCCTGCCAGGTCTGAGCCGCCTGTCGGTAGACATCTGCACTTGCATCTATTGTTTGGCGGATATCTCTGTGATAACCGCCACCCATGGTCACAACCAACGGTACTTCATTTGCAGCAGCCCAAGAATATACAACTTGATTCCTTTCCCACAGGCCCTGGCGCGTGAGTGCAAAGCGACCAAAGCGATCACCGGCCAGGCCATCAACACCGGCCTGATAAATCATCACCTCAGGCCTGCGACGAATAATACCTTCAAAGGACTTGTGCAAAGCTAACAAGTAATCCTCATCTGTGCAGCCATCCGGCAAATTCACTTCGACATCAGAAGCGTGGCGAGTTGAAAATGGATATCCCTTTTGCTGATGGAGTGAAAGTGTGTACACTGAGGGGTCACCTGCAAAAATCTTTGCTGTTCCGTTTCCTTGATGTACGTCCAAATCAACCACAAGCACTGAAGAAATACTGAACTCCTGTTGCGCCAAACGGGCGGCAACAGCAATATCATTGAACACGCAAAAGCCTTCGCCTGCATCAGCGAAAGCATGGTGTGTACCACCAGATACTGCTCCACTCCAAGTTTGGCTGTTTAATGCGTGTCTCAATGCAGCGACCGTTGCACCCAAACTTGCCAGTGTTCGAAGCACGTATGCTTTCATGGGAGCTTCTTTGAAACCAACACGTCTTCGCATGTCGTCGGTTGCCATTCCGGTAAAGATCTGGGTGACATAATCAATATCATGGGCCAAGCAAGCCTCTTCAAATGTTGCTAAAGGCCCTGCGCGGACCAGAAGCCCCTCCTCTTGCAAGAGCTCCCGCACCCTTTGGTACTTGTCAATTGGAAACCTGTGGGTCGGTGGCAACTGCAAGTCAACCCAGTCGCTAGAATAGAAGCACAGTTCATCGACGATGGGACATGGAGATTGCTTTGCAAAAACCTCCAGAGGTAGTTCCAAAGGATTGGTCAAGCATTTGCGAATCCAACGCTGAAACGGTTGAACGCGAAAAGGCCGCTGTACATTGCCGATCATCCATATCCAAGGCAACACTGGAACAGGCTTTAAACAAGTGTCAAACCGTCAAAGCATGTCTCAAGAAAGTATGTATCATTTACTATACTTTCAACAAATAGGATGCATTACCACAAGCTACCACAAACCGTGAAACATAGATCATCAAAACAGCTCGCGGGTTGTGCAACAAACAGCCCTCCCAAATCTGTTTTGGAGGACCAAATGTCACCAAGGTCCATTGCCTTGGGAAGCTTTAGAGAGACTTGAGTGAGCCTAATTTTTCCGTGCTGCACATATTGAGGCCAACACTGTGAGCAATTCCTCAGCTTTGTCCCCTTGGCGCCTCCCGCCCCCACAATTCGAAGAAGCCCAGCAAAAGCTCTCCCAAGCTTTCCTCAAGTTGACAGAAGCACTGCAACATGATGCAGCTGGCCTAGAAGAGTTCTGCTGTCCTCGTTCATGCGATGTCGGATTCTCTCCTATAGCTGCGTATAGACCAGTGGAAGAGTTGAGCTAATGATACTACAAGACTAGGGTTTGTCAATCAAGAAACACTTCCCTGTCTCCTCTCTGATCATCTTTGGATCTGTGAGGAATGGCAAGGATCGCAGTTCACCGGTCATCTCATCCTGGTGCCAAGCATGTCCAATACCAGTAGGTGCAAAATAATATACTGTATATATATACACAAAGAGCTGAAAAAAGATACGAGTCCCTTTGATAAGCTCCCCTTCACACGGCGACGGCAGCTTACTAAAGGTGCCCCTATCTTCTGTTCTTTCCTCTCTAAATTGTCTCAGCAGCTGGCCATCTCGGGGTCTGTCAGGAAGTGGTTCACGGCCTTTGGCACCTACCATCTCATCCAATTCTGAAGTTCAAACCAATTTATCACAGGTGGAAGCGTAAAATACAGCTCTTCCGCTTGAAGTTTGCCTCAATAGAAGGCTCCATGCCCGACACACCTGGCACTAGGATGAATGGAGCAAACAGTTTGCTGCATTTGCTTCCTTGCTCGTTTGCCTTATCTCCGTGATGCTCTCAACCTAGCCTACACCTACAGTTAGAGTCAGTCAGTGAAATACACTTCGCTACTGTACTTGTCCATTTTTGCCGCCTTGTGTTTGCAAAGACTCCGTGAGGATGTCAGTGACCATGGGCAGCACAGGAGGATTTCGGAGCTGGAGGGAGTAGAAGAGCTGCCTTCGAAAGAACAAGCATTCATTATCCTCCTTCCTTGCTTCCTTCCTTCCTTCCTTCCTGGCTGGCTGGCTTGCTCTCTCTCTCTCTCTCTCTCTCCCTCTATCTCTGAGATTTATATACAGTAAATTGCTGTCATGAGATGCTCCTCCACTTTCACTGCTCCTCCGAACACAAGCCCCAAACATTCCAGAATGCTAATCACGACATCCCCAAGGACGTTTATTAATCTTACTTGGGCACCCTTGGGGTCTTGAACCAAGGAGTTCGAGGTATCAGCTCAAGCACGCCGAAACCAAAGATCTGTGAAGGACCAAGGTGGACAACTAAATGCAGGCTGAGCACAGTATCAGCGTGTAGGTGCTCAGTGTTCCCTCTGCCCGGTTGTTGATGCAGCGCCTCATAACATCTACAACTTCAGTGCCACTTTGTGTGGTAGGGACACTGATGTTTACTTTCATTTTCTCGGTTCAAAGGGTACAGTGTCCAAAGCTTCTGACACGCTGACACTACTAAGACCAAGGCTGCGAGGCCCAATGCTTGATAAAGCGCCCCAGATCTCGAAGATTGTCAAAACATGTAACACTTTTCTCATCACTCTTCTCATCACAGTTTTCCAAAATCCCAAGGTCCAACATGTAACATGTAACATCATCCAAACATGTTGATCACAGCTTTTCCACTCTTCTCAGCACACATTTCACTCTTCTCTTCTGTGCTACAAAAGCCAAGAGGCAAGGAACCCGTGGATCAAGGCTGGAAAGAGTTCCTACAAACCTGGAATTCTCCAAAGCCGCGACCTGAATCAACCCATCTTGCCAGAGTCCCCATCTTGCAGAGAAAAGCTCAGTGACTGACATTGTTAACAGAGACGTCACACAAGTCTCGTCCTGGACCGCTTCATCGGTTTCAAGATGTTTCATATGTGTAATATATATTAATATGTATATACTGTATATATATATATATTATATTGTTTTATAAGTCTATCGGCTTGACAGGTCACAGGATTGAATCAACACTAGATTGGATGGACTGACTCAACACCAACTGATTAATCAGCTATCTGGATCCTTGTCCATCATGAATCTTCGCGACCTCACCAACTTGCTCGTCTTTTCAACTTGAAGCAGCACCATGACATGTGGACAAAGACAAAAACATGTTGATGTCAAGTGCAAATTTATTTAGTGGCCCGACGGGCACGCGCGCGCCCTTCACCAGTTCCACTTCACCCAACCTTTCAGTTACAAGTTCTTGCATGAACAATCCTCTTCAAACGAAGGAAGGAAAGCGTAGGAAAGGGCCTCTCTGTTATTGCCAAGCTCTGAACCAATCTCCTGAGCTTGACCAAGCAAAATGAGATTTCACGCTCTGTCTGCCGCAGCAGGACAGACTGCTGCCGAGGCACAGCTTTGTGAGCCATGATTGCCTCAACTTAATTCTCTATTGACCTATAGTAAAGTCTCCCTAAAAATCTAGGAACCAAATGAAGAAGCGTGAGCTATCCTGCGTACATATGTAGGAGCGTCCTGTACCTACTAGCTACCTTACCTACCTAGCTACTACCTACCTCACCTACCTCACCTCTAGCGGCCTACCACCCCGGTCTTAAAAAAGAGGTCGTCAATCTCTTCTTTGGGTCCCAGCTTTCGGAGGCATCTTGGTAGCACGAGGCAGGCATCAATGTCACTGCCTGGCTTGACTTGTGCGTTCGCAAGTAAAGGATTGAACAAGCAAGTAAGAAAGCAAGTATATCAGCAAATAAGAACTCAATGCTTCGCAAGTTGACCACTTGCTTCGTACGTGCCAGCAATTCCATTCATCCAGAAACCATTTTGGCCTATCAGCAAACTTGTTGGTCAAACTTGGCCCATCTTGGCCCGAAATGTTGAGGCATAAACAGGAGCCAAAGGTGTGAAAAACTCCACCAGTGTGCTTCTCCAGCAACGGTTTTAATCTATCATCCTCGGCTCAAACCAAACCGCTTCAATCTTTCGTGTGCTTGGCTGCTCCATCTATACGATCTGGGGCAAAGGCCACCCAGGTCTTCAACTTCTGCTGATCCTGAGGGCATCGTGCATCACATCTTTCTCAAATTACTATTTTACATACAAAAACTGTTTCCATCCTTGCCTGAGTCGGTGTGAGGTCCTCATCCTGAATTGTAACAAAATTTTGGTGGTTCCCACGTCAACCGTTACGGCAACAAGGAAAGCCTTCCGCTTCAACTGGTCAGTCAGCCAGGCGGCCGAATCGACGCCTGCCAAGTGAAACAACAAACTGAGAGGCTCTGCCAAGGCACTGCTGAAATGACAAAAACACCTAGTCCCTAGTCCCTAGACCGAACCTCTTCATTATATATCTGAGAACGGGGGACGAAAACTAGCCCCTGTAAAAACAGGTCATTGCTGTATATTGCTGTTATGGTGAAGTGGAAATTGCACTAATCTCTACTGCTGTTAGCCACAGGAAAATATAAGGCAAAGAGACGCAAAGTTTCGCATTGAGGCTGGATATGATAGAGCCTTTATACACAAGGCCTTGATCAATTAACATCCACTGTTACTGGTCATAGGATAGAGTTGGACTTTATGCTCTTCTACAAACGTCGAACTCTCGGACATCGACAGTTCGGGGGGTGCCCGTTTTCTTTAGTTAAGGGCCCTTTTCACGGTCAAAAAGGGCACCGCAAGCAACTCATGGGTTCCTATCTGCATTCTGCATTCTGTTTCCCTCTCCTGTCTTCTACCTGGACCCACAGCATGGTGAGCGCACCTCAGTATGGGTGCCCTTGTTTGTTGCATTTTTCAAGCAGCAAAAAGAAGATCTTATATCAATATCCAGTTGTAAAGATGAAGCCTGCAAATGTCCTGCTGAATTGTCGGAACGCTGTCTCTATGAGAGTATAGAACTTAGAGTCTTAGAGGTTCTTGCTTGCACAGAGTCTCGCCACTTCTGTCCCCTACCTGGATGGACACACCTGGTCAGGTCACTTCAGTGTGAGGTTTGTTGCGTGTCTATTTTGGGGGGGGCGCTTCAGTGTAGGGCACCCTTGTTTGTTGCAGGATTTGGGAGGAGCAAAAGGGCATCTCGTATGAATATGAATCGGTGTAAAGATGAAACTTGCAAATGCTATTCAGTCTCCCCTGTCCTGTTTTCTACTCGTTCTCAGACCTGGTTGGTAGACCATCTAAAAAGCACATTGAGGTGCTAGACTATCGGATGGCTTTCGTAAATGCACGTGAAATGCATGTCAAATGCCATGTGAGCAGCAGTGGGTATGTTTGGTGGTGAACTGAAAAACCTTTAGCGTATGCTATAGAGCCTATATACACAAGGCCCCATCCATTGTTATTGGTCATAGAATAGATTTGGATCCCTCTTGGACATTTACAGTTCTGGGGGGTGCCCCTTTTCTTCCGGTTTAGGACGCTTTTCACGCTGAAAAAAGGGCAGTCGTCAGACATAGATATACACCCGGTTAGCTGATGCGCGGAGCGGACATGGATCCTTCACACACGTCGAGGTGTCAAGTCTCTTCACATCTGCTTCTGTGGGGTGCCCTTGTTTGTTGCGTTTCTGGTGTTTCGGGGGAATCAAAAGGGCACCCCACATCAATATCTGTTGTAAACACGAAGCTCGCAAATGTCGGCAGAACCTCCGTGCTGAGTTTTCCAAACACTGTCCCTGTGGGAGTTTATAGGGTTTCCTGCCTGCATTCAGTCTCCTCTCTCCTGTCCTCTACCTGGTTACCTGGACTCACACACCGGGTTAGCTCAGCTCAGCGTGAGATTTTCTTGTTTGTTGCATTTCTATTCTTCTCCTACCCTCTGCCTGTACTCGCACACCTGGTCAGCTCTCTACCTGGGCTCACACACCTGGTCAGCTCACCTCAGTGTGGGGTGACCTTGTTTGTTGCATGTGCAAGTGTCGTTCAGTCTCCCAAACTGGTCAATAGACGGTCTAAAAAATGTACTGAGCACTTCGTGATGCCAATGATGCACTCGATCATTTGCATCACTCACATTACCAAGACACCCTAAAACATACATGTTCACCTCACACCGCCTATTACTCACTTCGTTCGCCCATCGAGGACCCAGGCATGCCTATCGGCTGGCTTTCGTGAATATATATATATATATATATATATTGACTGACATCATGACATGCACATCATTCTCTCAGGCCCCTCCTGTCTTTCTCTTTGGCGGTGGTTGTGGCCTGGACCTCGAAGCCGAAGCAAAAAAGCATCTTCGTGCTCGTAAGGGAACCTAGATTTTAATGCTCTTTATGTACTGTAGTGGTATTTGCAGTGCTTTGGACACTTTTTTTGAAAGGGTTGTTTTTCTTTTGTGTGTGTCTGGCGGGGTACTATGTTACTATATACATATATAGTGATATATATATATATGTGATTATATGTGTAGCTATTAGCCCAGAAGAGTTGCGAAGACATATGTTTGCTTGAGGTTATGGTACTTAGGAGTCTTTGGCGGGATACCAAGAACTCCTAAGTACTGGGACCTAAGAATGCGGAGAGTGGAGAATCTTCGGTCCCAAAGTCCAAAGTTACAAACGTTTTCAAACATTTGGGGATAGCATAGCAAAACTCCTAGGTACGCCTCGAACGAGCTTCTGTCGAAGCTTTATTCCCCAAGTCTTTCCTATTCCAAGTCTTTTCATTGAGAAGTGCCTTTCGGCTTGTTCTTAGCAATATGTTTCCTTTATTGGCAATCTATTCCTCCAGAAAACTCACTCCACATGTCTTTCAAACATGGGACTACAAAAGTCTTGTCCTTTCTTCATATCTCACCCTCACAAATCATGTTCTGTGTAAATAATCTCCTGAGCTCCACTACTACACATGCTGTTTCTATTAACAACAGCCTCCTTTATTTGATCAGTTTTGGTATAACCATTTATCCTCTGCACATGGTCTTTCTCCCTCCATTTTTAACAACTCCACAATTGCCAAACATGTTCTTTGTGGAACATTATTCAACCCTATTAGGTCTTTACAAAAATACATCTGAACGTATTTATGTCAAAGGAATTCAATTCTATATTGTTTACTTTGGGCAGGCAAAAAGTTCAGTAAACACAACTTGTAGTCCGATACCAGCTTCACGCATCGGTACAACTATCTCCAGTTCCAAGCCCAAGCAGGAGCAACTAAAACAACAAACATCCTTTTAATCCAATTAGCTCTCGTGATAAGACTTGAATTCCCATTCTTCCTCCCTTAATTTAGTTCTGTTGCTGCTGATATAACTGATCTATTCTTCCCCTTGTCTCAGCAAATTCTTGCAGGTCTTAATGGGCGTGCCTCTTGCTCCATAGTAGTAGTAGTAGTAGCAGCAGCAGTAGTAGTAGTAGCAGGAGTAGTAGCAGGAGTAGTAGTAGTAGTAGTAGTTGTTGATTTTCGTGAAGGTTATTGAGAGTCAAGCAAAAAGAAAGGGAGCTAGACCAAACGCAAAGATATTGCTTGGCCTATGCCCTTGCCTAGCAAACACTGGTCCATTGATAGTCAGCCCCTCGTTTTGGTATGCAGCTTCCCTGCTGAAACAATTGATTTATGTCACCTTGCTTCTGCTGCTTAATTTGACGTTTTGTTGACTGTAATCCATCCGTTCTATCAACAAAGAGATCTTCAGGCGGCACATGCATCTGGCGAAACGGCACAAAACAATGCACACTCTGAAAAGCGGCGAAAAACAATATACACGTTTTAAGTGCACGTTAATGGGAGGGGCGGTGTGAAACGACAAAAGCTGTTGGAAACACCATTGTATAAAAGGCACACTAGGGTGGCACAGGATTCTCCTATAATATTCTAAGCTAATCACATTGAAATACAAACACATCTTACATCATCTTACGCTCATACATGTGTCAATATCATGAGTGCAGCCGTGACCTCAACACATGTTCACTCAAATAGGCTGTGGGGCGCCGAGCAATAATGCCAATGCTCTTGCCGAGTGTGCTCGGCCAAGGCCTACACTAACAAAAGGCATTCTGCGAAACACACACAAATGATACTCTGGTGAATCCTAGGCGAGCACCTGTCATCCAACAATAGTTCAACACGAAGCAAACACGTCAAGGCCGCATAGAAACGGACCATCTAAGGTAGTGACGTCGGCGCATGCAGCAAACGATTGGACATGGCAGGTCAGCCGAACTGCGTTGTCTTTTTGGAAATAAACAGCGTTCACAAGCTGGTTGTGCTTGACTCAAATTTTGGGCTCTCAAGAAATCACAAGCTGTTGTCACACCTTGTCTTTGTACTCATCAGAAACGAATGAAGATTCAAAACAGAACGAGTTCAACTTGAAGAGCTGTGATCGGTCATCTGTGGTTGCTACCCTCTCTTTTTCAAAGCTGCTGGAGCTCAAGGTGTTTTTCACCATGTTTCGGAATGCATCTCTCTCTCTATGTATATATATATATATATAACTGAGCTTCCTGTTCCTCACTGTCTCACCCATCCAACGTCGGACTGCGAATTGTTTTCAATGCTGCACATGTGCCCATGGTCTGACGATGTTTTGCACTTCGGCACGGCAATCAATTCACCTCGGAGGTTTGACGATCCATGAACGTAAACCTAATGTGTGGCCATACAAGTAGCTTTATTGTTACTAGTATATAGTAAGAATGCTCCTAGTAGCGATGCCAGGAGCCCCTAGTAGCGTCCTTGCTCCTGGGAATCCGAAATCTTGGGACCTGGCATGACATTGCACGCACATTTTGGTTGGGCGTCTCGGCGAGCTGCACCAGACCTCTTCTCCTGAAGCTGCGCACACACTCAGCACGCATTCACTGACCAAATGTAGCTGTTACTCTCTTTGTCAACTGCCCGCCCTGGTACCGCTGGGTACCGCTGGCCTGAAAGTGCAGCACTTCAGATCGCAAATCTTCAACCTGAACTTGTCAACAGAACTCAAGAGACACCTTTCTTACACGTACTGTAGCACGACGCCAAAATGACTTCTCCAGGTGTCATGCAACAGAAACCGTCCAAGGGCAGTGCTTGTGCTTGCAGCTCGTGGATGGACTGATTTGACTGACGCTTTGCCTGCAAGAGAAACATCAAACAACTGAAGCGACTTTACATGTTTGCATCACAAGCTTGCCATGCTTGACGCCTCGCCATGCTCGTACTGCGCTTTCCTCGTGGCCTCTTCAGCCAGCAGTACCTGCCAAGTTTTGCAGGGTCAAGCCTGTAAAAGGAATCATGAGACTGACTAACGCGCAATCATCCGGGTATGTAATACTAGGAGCGAAAGAAACGTCTGCACGGGAAAATATCTGCTGAAACTGGCTGTAGTTTGGAGGGCCAAGCGGCTTCCACTGTCTTCTAACGAAATCAGAAGCTGCGCCCACACTAACTAGGAACACCAAAACCTCGGGAACAGAAACACACCCAATCTGGTCGGTCTGTTTCCAGCAATATTCACCCTGCAAACCAAAACACAGTTATGGTCTTGCACATATATAATCATATATAAGGGATGCCGCATGCTCAAACCTTTCTGCGAACGAGTTTGCAAAGTATCAGTGTCCTATCCTGAACTGCAAGGCACTGCAGCGACTTGGGGTTTTGAGGAAAGGTGCCATCCGGGTGATGTCATGAAACCTCCTGCAAAAACCGGGAAAGTGCAAGGTCAACACGTGGCAAAACCACGTGAAACGCACCCACCGGGCCGATCAATATCTGCATGCACAGTGTAAAGCAATGTGAAAAAATAGGAAACCGTCTGTTCGTCTTGTTCTCGTATTTGTTTTGTTTTGGCCGAACTTGCTTCTACAGCTACATGCATAATGTGCATGTGTACACGTCAGAGACCCATGAATGAACCTCCACTTCCCTACCATAAATAAGCTTATCAAAGGAGTTCAACTATATATATAGTATATAAATATACTATTATACAATATTATATACACCACATGAATATATAACTATGTTGTTATACAAATTAATCAACAATTATACATGAAACAACTCTTTGCAAACGATGCGTCCTTCAAAGGCTCGAAAGGATGGGAAAAGACACGTGCTCGCAAACGACATGTCCCAAAACTTTCAGAAGGAACTAAGCAACCATGTGTGTCTCGAGGACTTCTCTTTTCTCTCCCTTTTGCCTTTTCATGTTCTCTTCTCTTCACTGATCCTCTCTCCTTTTCTTTGGAAAACTCACGCGGCTCCAGCCCAAACAAAAGTAAACCATTTCGGTCGGGCAATACTTCATCTCTCCTTCCTTTCATTCTCTCCTCCGTGCTTTCTCTGATGCAGCAACACTGACACTGCACCGCCTACATCACTTAAACAAGACTGCCGTTGCATCGCCTATATCATTTACGTCTTTTTGCTAGTGTAAAACGGTTTCCATCTTTCCGGTGCCTTCGAATGGCACTCTGGACACACCACTTGTTCCCTTCGCCGTATCAGCTCCAGCTATCGCCTAAAGGCTCCCTTTCGTAACATTTCGTAACAAAGGACATGGAAGTCTACGCATGCAAAATAACATCTATAAATAACAGGGAACATCTACCTGTGTGAGTTTTGCGCATGCAAAATAACCAGCCAACTTATATGTGTGCACTTCTGCTTATGCAAACCATCGCAAACAAACAACATAATCTACAGGCGAACTTCTATGTATGCAAAATTTCACGTCTTTTCACCAGAAGAACCCATCACAGCGCTCCCGGGAAATAAAGCTGTACTGTATCTTTGAAGAACATGTTGAAATGGTCAAAAGGGCTCACTATATCTATATATAGTTACTTCTGTGGGCACTCAACACCCATCCAAGATCTTGAAAAACCGTTGGATAAAGAGGGACGATAGCTCTACACCTTTGTGTTCGTCGTGATAATCCAACAAAAGCCAACAAGAAACTACAGTAGTGACTAGTGATGATGAGTCGATTACAAAAGATATCAAAAGAGTATGGAATGGCATGGTGCGATCTTACAGTACGAAGTTGTCATGTTTTTATGATTGTGTTTTTCTGTGTTCTTCCGCTAAATCGAACACATGGTTGCAGTGGAAAGGAGCCGTGATGGCGGCCTGCTCTCTCAGCTGCCTTTCGCGCTCAATGGCGTCCTTGGCTTCGGCGGCGTTTCGGACACGCCCGGCTGTAAACTTTAAACATCAATCGATGACAAACAAGAAGGAAACTATGTTTGTATACTGTGTATATATATAAACGATTATAAACGTATAGACATACAAACATGACCCAATTTTCCCAAGCATTTGCCAAAATGCCTGCTGTTGAAGCAGCTCAACCTCCAGGCAGGGCAATCTGTTGAATTCCTTTGCATTGCATGCTGTTGTTGTAACTGTATATTTTCCTTGCCGACATTTGAACAGTTCTTTTGAGTTTGCAGCCTGACCATGCAAATGCCCCATCTCGCGACTCCTGAGCCACTGCATGTCACCACAGAATTGGTGGACATCGGAATCTGCAGCTTGACATTGCTCGAGGTCTGGGCTTTTCAAGTTGCTCCCCGTCGAGCTTTGTTGCTGCTGCTGCCATTGCTGCCTCTGTTTGCTTGAGATGAGACTGCAGGTCCAGGTGGCAACTCTGCAAGCTAACAAATCTGACAAGCCCGTACGCTGCCTTGCTTTCGAGCTCATCTGTGGCAAGCTTCAGCTTCGCCTTGAAATGGTTGAGATGGCCAGCACCAAGACTTCTGGTGCCAATGCAGTGCCATGATTATTGCACATACATGCACATACTAACTAATGGGAAAGGAAGAAAGGCCGGTGTGAAGCTCAAAGAATATGACAAACGTTAAAACAATGAAACATCAAATGATTTGTCATTAGATTCCACCGAATATCTCGCCTTCAAAGCATCGCTGTTGCCATCCCACTTCAGCCGAGCCATGCGAGATGTACTTAGCGCCTGAAGATCCACAAGAAGTCAACGAGTCGCAGGGCAAGTCGCAGGGCTATTCAGGGGCTCCTCCCGCACTGCCCGTAGGATTGGCTTCGATGGAAGGTCAGAATCCAAGGCGTTCATCAATGCCTTGCAATAGAAAAAGAGAGAGGGTTCAAGTTCAGTGTTCAACTGTTTCACAGTTTGACAGCATCAACTCCAAAATGTTACAATGTAGGGGTGCCTGAGATCGAGGATCAGACGGATCTGCAGCTCTGTCCTGCATCTCTTGAACTTGCCGCAACATCTGTGTCATGCTTTGGGCACGAGTCCTGACAAAGCCAAGCTGACCAGTCGGCGCCTGCCCAAAGGAATCTGAACAGGTTCAGCTACTGAAGGTATTTTACCGGCCTGCTTGTTGCAAATGCGATTCTACTAACTCGGCATTGAGTTGCTCAACTGCCTGGCATCTACAATTTATACAAAAGGAGCAAAGGCATGATCAGGCCCTACATCTGTTTGCCTTCTCTTGCTCCTTGATGACTACCTTCAGCTCCTTCGGAGCTTATTGCATCGGGAACGTCGGGAACCAGAATGCTTCTTATTTGCAATCCACGGAGATGTGATACAAAATCACAAACCCAAAGTATCACCGAGTTTTCCAGGAGCTGATGTTCACCAAACCAAACATGTCCTTCCAGTGTTTGTCTGTCACCGTGTCATCGCCAACGGACCGACTTCTCCATTCTTCTTTGAGTGCTTTGCGACATTCCTCCCGTGCGGCGGCTAGGGGATCAATCCACAAATCAAAGACTACAAACTGGCCATTGAGCCTTCAAGCTGGCTGCCAGCGTCTCATCTGACACAGGCAAATGCCTGTTGCTTGTCCACATGAAATAATTGCCACACATGCACAAAAAGCATCAGGAGACATTGCTGAGATTCTGAGGCTGAGATAGCTCATCAGTACAAACACATTGGTCTGAGAGTCTGGAATCTGGAATAACCAAATGGATCCGCATATCTTATGATATCTTGTATCTTGCAGTCCTCCGGCCTGCCACGTGGAAGAGGTCCTCCGTCTTTCACCTCTCAAAGCCGTGTACCTCTGTCCTTTAGATATGGAACAAAGATGAACAAAGTACCCACCCGTGGTGATATGAACAAACAAGCACCCTTGAACTTGACACAGCGTTCCTTTCGTCATTGTTTCGCTCTTCAACAATTATCAGCAATCTCACTGTCAGCACGCTTCCGCTAAGGAGCTGTGGTTTGGTTGCTGGCATTTGAGAGATGTTCCAGGTGTGGGCAGTGGGGAGGAGGAAATGGGGTGCTGGGGAGTCACACTGTAAGATCACAAAGCACCGAGGAGTCTCAAGGAGCGTTGAAAAGACAGAAAAAAATTGGGATTGAACACTGACCTGTCACATCCGTTCTGGAATATTTTGGCGGACTTTGCACGCTGAAAAAGATGGTGGAATCCTGTTTGGGAGGTACAGGTTTGGGGTTGATGCGACATGTAGGGCGTCAATCTCCAACTAGCGTAAGGAAGGGTTTGGGAGGTCGGCAATAGGCGTGGGGAAGGAAGAAGTGGTAGGTGTAGGGAGTGGTGCCGAACGCTCATTCACTGCCTCTCGCATCTCCGGACTTAACTCACACGCGCTGCCTATCGCACGTTCACGACGTGTGCGTCACGGCCTGGCGCGGCGCAACCCTTCACGCGCTCGTATCCGCACTGTCTGAGGCGGCACGGCGTGGCTTGGTGCAGCCAAAGGGCGTCCCGCAAACACCGAGCGTCACACACCCATGTCGCTCTTGCCGTTGCAAAAGCCGTGGTTGCTTCCAAACCCCCAGCTGCTGAACAAGCTGGCTTGGACACATGTTTGCCGCGTTGGTGTCAACTGTCAACGGCGACAGCAACAGTCAACGTCACGTCGCCGCGGTTTTGGCCACCCCCACACTGCAAGCTTCGTCGTGGTCCTGGCCACCCAAACTTCGAGCTGAGCCGATTTGGACACCTCCACGCAAAACAGCCCATTTCACGCACACTAATGTCGCCGTGGACGTCGCCGAGGTCCTGGCCACCCCCAGACCCCGGTTGCTAAGCCAGCTCAGGTAAATGACAACGACAACTCAAGCGCCTCACGGCTAGCTTTCGTGGCATGCTAGCTCATGCTAGCTAGCACCCATCCCACACCTTCCCCCGCCTCCAGTGCCATAAAGTCGAGCTCTTTGGGATGCGAAGCTCTTTGCTCAGTGCACATATATATATATATAAATCAATCTCCGTGCGGTCCAACATGAGCGTCAATGAGGAAGCCCAAAGTCGAGTCTTAAGGAAGATCTTGTTGAACGTCAGGCGTGGCCCTCCTCCAGAACTCTCCGTATCTCCCGGCCTTCTGGAACTCCTCCAGAACCCGACTCTGCAGCTCTGCAGAAAGGTCGTTGCAGGCTGAGTGCTGGACCTCCGCGGAAAGTGGTCAAAAAATACGATTTTGCGGTGTCAAGCATCGCCTGGTTCCAAGCGTTCACCACATTCAAGGCCTCACTGATTGAATATGGTAACAGGAAGCAAGAGGTAGGGGAACAATCTATATATAGGACAAGCAATGGAGAAGAACTTGTTGAATCGCTGAAACAAGCAGCTAAAACATGCTAATCACAAAGCTAGCTCCCTACCGGCTAAGAATGAGCGTCCCAGCAGTTCCCTCGTTCAGCGCTGCAACAAGCTTCCGGAGCATTGCCGCCCAGGCCGAAGCACAAATGGCTTCACCTCCCAAGAACTCTTTCCGATTGCCCAGTTTGTCCTTTGTTGGAGACGATTACGAGAAATCTGCTGAACATGTTGAGTATATAGAGCAGAAAACTGCCGGCGATCGGTGATCTAACGTTTTACTACTTAGTTAGAAGTTCCATGCACCTCAACTACTCAGTCAATAGTGAATACTAATGAATACTATATACGAATATATATATATATATCCGGATATATATATATATCCTCATTGGCACGTTGATCATTTTTCGAAATCAACAAGGACCATTGCGATACATTCTGACTTGATTTGTTTATCACGCTGCTGGATCATGGCCGATATCTCAGCCTTGATTGCCTTATGAATCTGACGTCAAGTGATTCAGACCATGCCTTAACACATATGCACAAACTGTCTTTTGACTTATGAGACCTTATGAGTACATTGTCCTAAGAGTCCTAAAATATTAATCGTTTTGCACCAGCCTTGAACCGTCTTGGGATGAGACATCGCCAGACCTCGAAAGAAAGCACCAGTCCCTCAGCTCTCCTTTCCTTTATCGCTCAAGCGAACGCCTGGCGAGCCAAAAGGAAAGAACAAAACAATACAATCATAAGGTTTGTTCGTTTTTGGGTCGCCACGAAGCAGCTGGGTCTGGAGGTCCTCACATCCAAATGTGTTAAAGCCAACCATTGCTTCAACATGCTGAATGTACAGTTGCACTCAAAGTCTACTCACTGCAAGCCTGTCAACAAATTTGAAAGGCTGTTGAATGCTGTTGATTCTTGTGTAACTACTCAGCAGGCATCGTGTTTTCAATGATCTTCTGTGTTGGCCAACAACTACGCCTTACGGGCCTTATGTTATGTCTTACTTGCCGATCCGCTGCGCCTGGAATCCCCGCCGGAATTCAGGCCGCAAGTGCTCAAATGGCACCTCCATCGGCAGGACGCAACGAAGTAACTCTTCTGTTTCCTGCTACCCTATCAATCTGACGTTCATTCTATTTTGCAATTGTGAAATACATACTCTCCCGACTTTGCATGCTCTTGGGAACACGGAAGAAAAAGCAACAGCAGCAAATTGCAGTGACAACTGACAGTCGCGTTGTGTCCTCTCGCCTCAGACAGTTGCCGCAGCTGTTCCTCATCCTGATATGAGATTTGAAGACACACACACACACACACTCTAGAGAGATCAGTGATATATATATATATACGGGCTTGCAAAAACCTAAGTTCCAATCACCATATAAAAATTCCCTTGCCTCGCTCTTGCGCCTGCTTGCGCGCCCACATGTTCTGCCACTTTTTGAGATTCTTTGCTTTTTTTAGTTAGCCCGCGGTTGTTTGACAATGGATATGCTCCAGGCCCTGTCAGGCTACGTTTTTCAATCTTCGCGGGACTTCCTCTTCTGCCCGTGGCTCCAAAGCCTTCTTTAGTTTTTGCATCAGCCAATCTCGGATGCCACTTCGAAGGTCACGGACATATTTGGCAGTCAAGATCCATCGCCTGAAGCCTGCTCCTTTGGTTTTCTGATTGGTTTACGCAGCTTCCACGTGTTAAAGTTTTCCCCTAAAGTGGGCCACAGGTCACATGGCACTGCTGACCTTGAGCCTAGCTTGTGTTTACCTTGCGGAACATATACAGTATGCATGCATTTCACCGCCAAAAACAAAATTCTCACGTGACGGAAATTAAGGGACATTGAAGAATATAGCTGCAATCATCCTTGAGCCTTTGCCAGCCAAATAGCTACAAAATTATAGAATCTCCAAGGTTGTCCCATTCATCTCATATACATGATTATACATGCACCTGCATTTCAATCTACAAATAGTCTACATCATGAACTTGCGCTCACCACAGAAAAATGCATGAACATGTAAGGTCTGATTTTCACATTTGCGTTTGGTCTAAATTTCTGTTTCGGGGGCTTCGGTCGACTCTCATATATGAGTCTAAACACGCCGGCCCAAGCAATAACCGGCTGGCAAAGAGTAACGCAGCGACGATCTGGAAAAGACCTGGCCAGAGAAAAGCCATGGCTCACCGACAACATCACACTTCGCTTTGAGTAGAGGCGCTGCAGCAAAGTCTCTCGAACCTCTCTAGCCTCAAAAGCCAACGGGTTTTGAAGAAAGCATTTGCACAACCTGCAAAAATAAGCTGTGTCAACAAGTATGTGAATACATACAAGAATCCTCAGTTGTTCAAGGGTGAGACTGGCTCTCAGAGTATGATGGCCCTCTTGGGGATGCATCTTGATCACCGCCCATCTGGACAATAAGGCAGCAACAGCTTGTGATCGCTGACTTTCCACTGCGTCTCGAGGAGTTTTGCGAAGAGAGGATTCTAAGTACCTCCAAATGACAAGAAGGTGTTCTTTTTTGCTTTCAGTGACTTGCAAAAGACTTGCAAAACATGGGTGACAGCTGGACTCTGGTGCTCTCGCGAATAGAGACACCACTGAAATTAAGGGGGCGACTCATCAGGTGTCATTCTGCGGCCCTTTTCATCAACGAGTTCCAACAGGAAATCTCGCAAGAGCCACCTGCACCAAACTCAGCGGTCAGAAAAACTAAGACTTATTGCCCACATTGAGCTTGCTGGCAACCCAGCTAAACAGGAACCCCATGTCTTTAGTTTAATCGCCAAGTTGCAGAAGTGCGGGCTTGCTGGTATCCTGCCCCTGCTCCACATAAGTAGCCAGGCTGCAAACCAATGATAGCGCGTTGAAAAGACCTTCGCTCAGGACACCCTGGCAGACAAACATGGATCTGGAGCTGCACAGGTACGTTGTTGTGCCCAAATTCTGATACCAGCTGCTTCGAATGTCTCGCGTGGGATGCATCTATCTTGCTCGGTTGTAAGGTGTTGGTAGAGTGCCAACAACGACCCACACTTTGGACTTTGATTTATCAGTGAATTGATCAAACAGCATTGCTGGCCGCCGCCTTGGTGTTGAGCAAAAAAACGGAAGAAAGCCTGGGATGGCATCCTACCAGAAGCTTCTCAAGAGCCACTCACCCAAAATTTACCCAACACCCACCGCCAAGCCTCCTAGTCCTTCACAAGAGCTTGAGAACTAAAGACCAAACTTCTGAGAGTAGACTGACAAAGATTTCTTCCCGTGGGAGAGACTCTCACCTGCTTTTGCCAAAGAGAATGAATTGATAGCCTATAGCCTCTAGTTCAAGCTACAGTACTGACAGCAAATCTGCAACGGCTAGGTGCCCATTTGTGGCACATTGGTGCCAATTGGTGCAACCAAGAAGCAGCATGCAAAGCGACATGAGCTTGGCATCTCTGGTTTTGTCAGAGTCTGTGCTGCCAAAGCCTTCACAGTCCTTGGTCAGTGGAGTCTCGGCAGTCTCGGTGCCCTACTAGCAGGGTGGTTGAGGCTGAGATGCGGACCAAGAAAAGCACATTGGGGCTGTCAACACCACCTTCACATTGCAACATTGTTGTTGAAAGTGAAGTATTGCTGTTCTTTGCTTTGGACGGCCTTGTGCATTGCTGAACCCCCACATCCACAAGCCGTCTGTACCTCCGTTCCATGCTGGAACCACACTTGATAAACCATTGAGCCTTCTCATGTTGTGGGGTCAAGACCTAGAACCCCGCAACCATGTCGAGTTCTGTGTTCTATTTGGGTTGGTGGGTTTTGGCTAAGTGCAGAGCAGGCTTGGGTACTTGAACCGACACCTGGAATGCGGATGTGAATGTAGCAAGTGTTGACTATTTTGAAAAAACAAAATAAAAGGGAAGAAAGGCCAAGGCCTCCAGGCAATAAACCAAGGTGAAAAGTGGTAGCACGGGGTAGTTCTATCTAAGACCAACACCAAATCCATCTAAAACCCACATGAAGGGAATGAAGGGGTGCGTTTTGGTCCGGAGCCGAGGGCCCAGCGAAACTGTCGGTAGCCATTCTGTACGCGCCTCCAGCTTTTGGCAGCAAGTGATTCATAGCTACATTGGTAATCTTTTCAAGCATAGCAAAAGCTAACATTGGTTGAGCCATGTTGAACCTAAGGCCCAGGCCCAAGGAGGAGATTCAGAAGGTAGCTCTTACCTGTGCCTGTCACATGCAAATTATATTCAAACATTCATTCCAAAGGTGTCTGACTCGAGCGCACGGTAAGGACCGCAAACCTCAGCTACAGCACCAGTCGTATCTTTTTTGGGAGTCAAAGGACTTGCAGTGACTGACTGCTATGGCGTAGTTATAGTGCGTTATGCATTGGTGGCTGGTGCTGGGCCATGGGCTGTACACACTGAGATACATTTCTGGCCCATGAACTCCAACACCTCAGGGCCGCCGTGCGCGGAAAAGGATTGACTTGAGTCCATGCCAGGCCTTCATGGTATCCTCGCAAAGCTCGAAATGCCAAGAGGTGCCCCGTCCTTGAGACACAAGAAGAAAAGCACGGTGCCTCTACAAATAAAGGAGATGAACAAAGGTGATGGCAACAGCTTATTCTGAGTTTTTGCTGCTTGAACTTCTGTTTCTTTACGCAACGTTGCACTGTGTTTCTGAACAAAATGTGTTTTTTGTTTTTTTTTGGTGTGTTGTGTCTTGCAACGTTCAGTCGCTTTGCATCAAAGACAAAATTCATGTAGTTGAGTTGCACATTGCTCCAATTTGAAAGCTTGAGAGACCAACGGGTAACACGGATCAATTGACGTGGCCCTTCCTCACATGGTTTGGCACGGCGGCAATAAAAAACAAATGACCACTGTTTCTGCCCATGGTTACCATGGCGCTCTTGCTTGTTTAGTCAAATGCTCAAACAACATCAAACAAAACTCTCGGATCTGGCCTGTTGTGGTTGCATTGGCAAGGGGCGCATGCTACTGGAGGAGCCGCCTGATTCCTCCACAGCGTCCTCTGCGCTTTCTTCCTGCCACACTTGGTAGTCGTCAGACTAGTCAGATTTGATACTAGTAGCTATATTGTTCCTAGTAGTATGGCCAGGAGCCCCTAGGAGCGTCCTTGCTCCTAGTAGCGATGTCCTTTGCTCCTAGGAGCAAGTGTAACGCTACTAGTCAGATTTGAGTGTTGTAAGTGTATCGACATGCCTTGAGCTCTTCGTCTCTACTTGGTGCACGGGTGCGAGCAGCTGGCAGGCGAATCCTGCAATTTTCAGACCAAACTAGGTCAACAGCTTTCCAAGAAGTGAAGAAATGTGCGAACACCTACATGTATGTGTCTTACATAAAACAATTATGTATCATAATACATACATGTTGAAAGCCTCATTTGTGATGATTTGTGATGTAAAGGCTATGAACAACATTTTGTCGAGTCCGTCTTGCGGTCGAAGTCCTGTCGGGCTGTACGCTTAATTTGCAATCCAAGTCATATGTACCTTTGTTTGGTGCACAACACTAGCCCATTCATAGGTACGCAGAAGTTCTCTTAAGGCAAAGGACCAGCAATGCCGTTGTACATCTTCACGGTTGCTGGCAGCCATAGACCTCAAGGCTGTGACATGCAAAGCTACGAGCTTAGGACACCATACTGCCATACGGTGTGAAATCAAGCTTTCGGCCAGCTGTTGAGCTATAGAACTCAACTATTGCACCGACCTATCAAAAGCACAAGTACATGAGGCAATTCAGGCAACCAGATCATCATGAAGGTCGCTACCACCGGTTTGGCTGAGGTCTTCCTGTAGATGAGAAGCTGCAATACCACCAGATGCTTTTACTATTGTGTCTTGTCTTAGCTGATACATACTGTAATCTACAATAGCAACATACATGTGGGTGTCAAAATTTGGACTTCAGCTACGAGAACTTTGATGGAGGAACGCCTGCCTACATTTGTCCGGCCTCATACTCTGGCTTGCTGAAAGTGGCAGCCCGAACTTTTGTCGGGGGCACCTCAGTTGATAAAACAACTCAGTTTCAAAAACGCCAAGTGCTTCCTGCCATCAGCAGCACGTGTCGCACATGTCTCTAGCGCTGGGCTTCACAACCCCAGTCTTGCAGTCCAAGTCGTACAAGCCATCGGCACGTTGAGCTAGAACCTCGAAGGAACAGTAGCAGCCTTTGAACCGTTGTTATTCTATGTTATTCTGTCGTGAATTCAACATTCTAGAAGTATACAAGTATATTCAAACACAGGCAAAAACCATCATCGAGGATACTAACAAACACGCCATGTATGCAATCTACTGCCTGCACCAAACAATAGACTCACCAAGGTAGCCTCTCTCGTTTCCCATCTTTTCACAGGCTGACAGTTTTTCTTGCTGGTAGTACTGACACCGAAGGTGGGAGGGAGGACAAATTGATCTGGAATCCAGACCAGAGAGCCAAAGGCCTAGAAAAGGCCAACCTCATCAGGTACAGAACGGCTGGGTACGCCCCAACAAAAGCCCTCAATGCGCCGCCACGGGTGTGGGTGGTGATGCAGTTGAAGCCACTTACTGTAACCCAAAAGCTAGTCTACAACAGCAAGAACCGCAAGAGGAGCTCAAGTTAAAGCTCAAGCGTTGATCCTGCCTTTGCAGGAATCCAGGATGCTGTAGATGAGCTGTAATAATCCACAAATTCTCCAGCCTTGGTCGGTTCGATACATCTCACGAAAACCATGAAGTTGCGTCTCAATTATATAATATCATATAAAATTATACATATATTAATAATTATACATAGTCTTACAACAATCATTTGCCCAACTGTGAAACACTTCTGAACCCTCAAAAAGGCCACAACGCGGAAGAGAAATGAACTGCTGACCTCCTCAAGCTTGAGACCATGAGATCGAGGTTTCGACATGGCAAAGAATGGACACAATGTTTCTTCGCAAGTCAAGTCCTAGATCCCAGATTGTGGAAAGTAAGGCGCAAATATGGCAGTGGATCCAAAACTGTATCTGCGAACACCACACGCCTTTCCTTTTGTAAGTCTTGAGCATCTAGAATTGCTGCCAAACAGTGGATCAGTAACTCAGAATTGAATCGGCACATCAGGAGCTCCTCTGGCTCTGTGAGGCCTAACAAGCCTAAGGCACAGTGCTCCGCAGGTGCTCTGCAGGTGCATCACGAAGTTGCTTTTGCATGCTTTTGCACCCGAAAAGCACTGATTCGTTTGCTAAAGCATGCATCAGCTGCATCAGCATGAAACAACGTGCTTATACACGCCTCATTGGTAGTTCAAGTATCCAGTATCCATGTCATGTATTTCAATTATACTAGTCACGTCACTATATTACACATTAACTATGCAATCCAATTGTCAAAATGAGGCGTCAGCTGCCAAGGCTGGGAATGGTTCCAAGCCTCAAAAACACAGCCAAACTTGACATGAGGAATCATGAAGGATACATATCAGAAAACCTTTCTCCCTTTGGGCCAACTGTGTGGATTGATTAACTCAGTCGTCAACAGCTTTTGACCCATGGCCCATAGCAAGGCTCTGGCCATCGCGGTGTCAAGCTTCCATCAGGCTGAGGCATTTGAGACCTGAGAGCCAAACATGCTGAAACAAAATGGGCATGTCAGGAATCAGGGCTTCCACCTGACACTTCCAAGATTTCAGCCCTCGGCCACGTTACTACAATAGGGCCGAAGGTTCAAACCCTGCCCGAAGCGTTCAACTTCCTTTTCCCTAGGAGCCACAAGCCTTCAAACGCAGCGAATTGTTGTGACATACGAAGCTCAAGAAGTGTTCGAAAATGTTGGTGCCGGAGACTGCCTGTAGTAGAATTGATTCAATTTTGGATAGCTGTGCGGTACATTCTTTTTCTGAGCCACTGCCTCCAATTCTGTCTATGTCTAAGAGTGTAAGTTACGTTCTCTTTCCAAACGTCTAACATCTCCTCCTTCGCCGATTCGGAAGTGCTCCATCACCATCCTTTGGATCGAAGCACCGCACTTGACGGGGGAGTTGTGGCTATCGTCGCCTCTCACCAGTCACCTCACTTCAGAAATGGATGACAAATGTTTTTTTAAAGTAAATAGCATGTCGGAACATATCTGAGCAAATGGCATGCGGGACTGGCAGTTCAATGACCTTGACATGACATGTCTGCAAAGGCATATCATCTAGCTGTCGGGGAGTTGCTGGCATCTATCCTGGGTCGTACACTTCCAGCACACGTGTGTGAACGTCTCTAGTCTCGTCATTCTCAGTCACCCGTTGCACATCTTTCTCCTGAACTCAAGAATGCGCGTCTTAGCGGACAGTGACCCACGAGCTCTGAGTTTTCCTTGATACGGCTGCCTAGAGTCTAGAGGTTGTTTCACATCCTTGCTGTATTCTAAATACTCTACTTCGAATGCTCACAACCATCACACTTCAATGATTTGATATGATTTTATACGATTTGCTTTCATACCATGGTGAGGAGCATGTTGCCATGGACCGCACAAATCATGCAGCATGGCCCGGGCTAGCACTTGCCAAGCATCTTGAACATACAACGGCAGCCAATCAAACACATTCCCATCGCTTCCGCCTGACTGATGGTCTCTGAAGCAGCCTCTGCTGCTGGCTGTGGTTGTGTGTTTGTGATTGTGCTTGTGATTGTGTTGTTGTTGTGGTGGTGGTGGTGGTCGTGGTCGTCGTCGTGGTAGTAGTAGTAGTCGTCGTCGTCGTTGCCGCCGTCGTGGTCGTGGTCGTGGTCGTGGTCGTGGTCGTGGTCGTGGTCGT